AAGTGAAAGCAAACACTGGGCTCAGGTGCAGTTTACATTAGAGCGCTCGATCGCTATTCAGTACCAAGGCTAGGCGGCCATTTTGTTTGCCCTATTACGTCACTACGTGCGTCCTGATTACGTTCGGTAACAGCTGAGGGCGTTTTTTTCCGTTTAAGAGGGACACCTTTGTTTCCCTTCTGGATTTCAATAGACAACAAGGAATATATCCTGTCGTCTATGAATAGCTGAGTCACTGTGCATATTGTCTCTTTGTCCTAGCAAGGGACAACATTATTGGATCTAGCTCTGAATCCGCCATTTTGAATCTGAAGCCAGGGGCCTCAACAGGTATTTCTCTTTGTGTAAAAACACAAAGGATCACCAATGGTGACAACGGCATGCTCAGGCACTTTAAAGGCCATCTGGATATGGCATATTTTACCTTTAACACTATACCGTACCCATACAATGTTAAACGGACAAACAAAACAAAACAAAACAACACAAATAGGAGGGAAGATGCCAATTTGCATTGCAAAACTGCTCCTGTCAGTCGCAGGCTAGAAAAGCAAAAGTATTTTCTCAATTCTAGACGATGCGTTAAACTAAACAGGGTCTGTACATCGCATCTGGCATGAAACATCGCATCTACTTAATATTTTTTATCGCAATATGTTTTAATTGTAAAGATAAACCAAACAAACAATGGGGGTAGACACATGTATATGATTCTGACAGCTTGTACCCAATGTAGATTTTGGGGATATTGTTATAATTTTCACTGTCAGGAAGCACAGTACACTAATATATGTCAAATAAATACTAAGTACTCAATGTTGCGCAAGAATTACAATATCGCACCAAGAAACGAAAAAGGCACAAAAAACTTCCCTTTTCTCTGTACAAAGACTCTGTTTAGGAAATGGAAACAAATTTAGCAAATATCTCAGGCGTTCTGGCTCTGGCGTACTGTAGTAACCCTCCGATATCATACGATCCAATTTTCAGCCCGTAAAACGACCAGTGCTGACGTACACAGACCTCTTCATTTACAAACCACATATCATCGGCTGGCGGGGAAGGGCGAAGGTGCAGACTAAACCTTCTACGTACCTTTCTCGATCTGGCCTCGCCGTGTTTTCCCGTCAATAATTCAATTGGGAAAACCCAATGACGAAACCTTTGCTTTCCCTACAAAACAGCTGCGTGAGCCTTGCTCGGAGTAACACAAAGATGGCGGCCTGTGATATGGGTTATTAATTATTCATATTTGCTGTGCGTGATTATCTTAATAGCCTGTGGGTGGGAGCCCTGTGCGTGGCAGAAAGACTGGGGCTAGGAGGAAAAAGATCTCTCCGAGAGAGAGAGAGGGAGAGAGAGAGAGAGAGAATGAGGGTGGGAGAGAGGGGGAGAGATGACATCAACAGCACACAGTCAGTGATGCCGCACTCATGTGATCACTGGGGACAAAAACAAAAACCTGAAGCAAGGTTATTGACATCACAAACTTTTGAGTCTGTCGTTGCTTGTGCATCTGTTGTCATATTTGCTCTACGTCACCTCATTGGTTATTTAGATCGATGAAAAAAATTGGCAGGTTTTCATTTTTTAACGCGCGTCAGTTTCTCATGACTCCTCAGCGGCCTCGCCACTTAACGGTGCGAGTGCCCGTCTGTGCAAAACAAGCCAGAGCCAAACACCTGCGTCCGGAACTGATTCAGCCTTTTGGTCAAAGAACGACATTTCCACGTGAGCCCGCGTGAGCCGGTGAGCCGTCCACATGTACCGCACGTACACATTAGCAGCAACCCGACCCTCAGCTGCACTTAAAAGCCTTGTTACATCTGATCTGTAGAGCCCTGTTACAGCAGCGAGATGACTGGCCTTGTCAGCATTCATGTCGCCATTTGTTTGTGTGGTGTAGTAGCATGGAATCCACCCCATTCTACCTCCGGGTTACTCTGTTTATGATTCTCTGAGCGATTACCGTTACCTAGAAGAATGCTTTTGGAAGCTTTTGCCTATTGTAATTAGCAGCATAACCCAAGAACCTATGGATGGATTGTCATTAAATTTTGTACGTGGTTAGGTGTTGGCCTGTCGAAGAAATAATTAGATTTTGTACACCCTGACGCCTTCCGTAGGTACTGCAGCAGAACCTTTTTCTATCTCGTGTTTTGGGTAACGTCGAATCGAGGACTGGTCTGCTGTGTTCTGATCAATACGCAACTGGTAGGATTTAGACTCTCGGTTGGGACGATAAGTCAAAGGTCCAGTGTTTAAGGAGAGGCACAGAGAGATATATTTAGAGGGACGCCCGGTGACTTTGATGCCATTGAAACTTGGAAAATGACCTTCTAAATTAAAAGTACCCAGTGCCTAAGTAATCAATATTCAGAAACCCTAGAAGCATCTGACGTGTGGCCAAACGCCTGAGCTCCCTTGTCCTATCACATTATCAAAAGAAAGCGCGTGGGACGGTTCGCCAATTTCCCCACTGGCCTCTCAGAGGAAAGGCCTGGGAGCGGCACTGTCGCCGGCGTGGTCGCAGGCGTGACTACGTTCTCCTATTACTTTCAATTTCCTTATCGATTTTACATTTATGCGCATTTTCCCACGTAATTTTAGCGCTAACTGCAGGTGTCCTCCATTTTGAAATCCTTCAACCGTTCAAACTAGAAAGATGACAATATGAGAACTCCGCGGAAAGAATTAGACGGAGAAAAAAAGAGGAAGCCGTAGGAGGGCAGTTATTCACCTGTGAATGGTCGTGTTATTAAAGACGACGTGCAGCAGGATCCATGCAGGGATCAAATTACCACTTGCTTGCACCGCCAAGTCTTCCACTACAAAGTCCAAGAAGATCTGAAAGAACATGAAACAAAGAATGAACTGTACACCATACTATGTGTTTTCTGTCACTTGTAATTCAACCTTCCTGGCCACTTAGATTTCATAATGAACTTTTTTTCGCACACTCGTATCAGTTTCGAGGTGCACAGAACATATATTCAAATCCGTATGGCCTGAGCAAGCTTGATATACACACACCAGCAATCTACGCTGCGTAGATGTGCGGGAGGCTGACAATTTGAGAAATAAACGTTTCCTTAAAAACTCGTTATGTTCCGTCGTTCCCCAGTGTGACGCAGGTGGGAGGGATAATTAAGTGCCGCTCCTGCTGTTTTCAGAGCTGCGCTCAGGAGAAATGGCAGGCTTAAAATATAAGGCTCGTGCGGGGGAGGACAGTTCTATTATACGGTTATAGTGCACGTACTGGTTATAACCACCGCATATGGCGCAGCTCGTTTTATAAACAACGATGTAACGTCCTCCAACAATCGCCACCACATCCGGGGATGTTTCAATGGTGTCAGTCGGTAGGCTGGGGTGTTAGTCGGTAGGCTGGCTGTTTAGATGGTGTCTGTTTAGATGGGTGGCTGGATAGATGGGTGGCTGTTTAGATTGGTGTCTATTTAGATGGGTGGCTGGATAGATGGGTGGCTGTTTAGATGGGTGGCTGGATAGATGGGTGACTGGATAGATGGGTGGCTGGATAGATGGGTGGCTGGATAG